AGAAAGAAAGAAAGAAAGAAAGATTGTTTATTTGTAAAACATGCGTATACATAATTCGAGTAATCAGACATGCAAGATGTTAAATAATATGTTGTGCGTCCATGTTTCGCCAATAGTGGCATACAAATTTTATAGGTATAAAGATTATATTCAATTTCATTAAAATCAGCAATCTGTACAATAATAGTCATTATTAAATTACATTAAAGAGATAAACATTTGAATTTGATGTCACAATATTTCTAAATTAGGTAGTTACTTATATGATAGTCTAAAATAAATTACGTCCTGTACATACCTATATTCATTATTACGCAGTCAAATAGTGGTCCTTACAATAAGTCAATTTATTTACAAATCAATACTAAATTATATTATTATGTCCAATAGGTATACAAAAATATTATAAAAAATGTACATTGTATTATTATTATTCTTCACCATTAAATATGTTATACGAAGCCTGAATTAGAAAGTCTTTCTCATTCAAAAAGTCCTGAACACTGTAATAGGCTTTATTAACTAAAAACCTTCTCAGCTTATTTTTAAAATGTGTCAAGGGTAGTTCTCTCAAAATTTTTGGTAATTTATTAAATATCACAGGCGCCATACAGAAAATACTTTTACGCATGAGGGAAGTTCTCGCAGTATGCGTGCATATCCTACTGTTATCGCGCCTGTTACGTGGGACTATTTCATTTAATAGTTTAAATCGGTGTGGATTCGTTTTGACAAATACAGCTACCTCTAAAATGTACAGACATGGCAAAGTGAGTATTTTATTTTTCTTAAAGTATGGCAGGCAACTATCAGTGGGTTTAATTTTAAATATTGAACGTACGCATCTCTTTTGAGCCTTGAATATCGTGTCTTTTTCTGCCGAGTTACCCCAGAAAATTACACCATAGCGTAGGTGGGATTCAGTTAACCCATAGTAAGCAGCAAGTAATGCCTCTACACCTATTATAGACGATAACGTGTGTAGGGCGTAGGCAGACTTACTTAACTTCCTGCATAAGATTTCGATATGGGCCTTCCAGTTTAGCTTTTTATCAATGTAGAGCCCTAAAAATTTAGTTGTTTCTACCTCTTCTATAGGTTGGTCAGCGTAGTGTACATTGAGACTGCTTTTGGTATTGATCCTTTGACTAAAGTGTATTAATTTAGTTTTAGTCAGATTAATTTTTAGATTATTATCATCTAGCCACTTTACCATTAAATTTATAGATACATTTATATCACTCTCATAAGTATCGATACTTTTACACGGTATTGCTATGGTGCTATCATCGGCAAATAGTGTCAGGGGTTGAGGGATGCCTTTTGGCAGATCATTTATATACAAAATGAATAAGAGAGGCCCCAAAACACTCCCTTGTGGCACACCAAATGAAACTGTACGTTCTCTAGACTGATACACGTTGTCATGTTTACTTTTCATGTCAATTGCGTTTATGTGTGTAATTTGAGTCCTGTTATTTAAATAAGATTTAATGAGATTGTTTACATTTCCTCTGACCCCATACGTCTCAAGTTTATTTAAGAGTGTCCCGTAGTGTACATAGTCAAAGGCTTGAGTCATATCACAAAATACGCCACAGACCGGTTTTCTTTTATCAACATTATGTATAACATTATGTAAAAAATCATAGATGGCCATGTTAATAGTTTTACCCACTCTAAATCCTTTCTGTTCTTTGCATAGAATATTATGTTTTTCTATAAATGAATTTAATTCCTTGCAAATGTATTTTTCAAATATTTTAGAAATTATAGGTATTAGTGATATAGGTCTATAATTCTCCATTAATTCCCTATCTGCTTTCTTAAATAGTGGCTTAACTATTGATACTTTTAGGGCATCAGGATAGACGCCCGCACTAATGCTGAGATTTATAACATGACTCAAGTGACCGCAGATTTCGTCCGCAACTTGTTTCAGTATATTCGTAGCAATACCATCATATCCTACACTACTTGTATTATTTAAGGACATTATTATTTTTTTAATCTCGGTTGGTATACTAGGGGCCATAAACATAGTTTTATTATTGTGGTCTACAGTAAATCCCCTAGGTGCAGACCTCGCTATACCCTGCTTTGGTTGCACCTTATCAATGAAAAAATTATTAAATGCTTCTGCAATAGTACTGTGATGTGTCATGATGCAGTCACCTATTTTAATTCTATTTATGTTGGATTTAGGTACGTTATACTTTGCACGATTAATTATTTGCCACGCGGTTTTAGATTTGTTTTCAGATGTTTTTATATTGTAATTGTTTTGTGCTTTTTGTGTTAGCCGTATGATTTTTTTGTAAATTTTTGAGTAATTATATAATAAGTTTTTGTTATTATGGCTTCGATTTAATCGAAACTGCCATAGAAGTTTTCTTTTCTTTTTACTGCATAATTTAATGCCTTTTGACACCCACTTAGTACGTCGTATCGCATTTATTTTAACCGCTATAAATGGAAAACACAGGTCGTACAGTAACTTGAAAATCGCGGCGAAACAATTATAAGCTACATTTGGGTCATCTGTTTCATAAATTTCTGAAAAAGTAAGACTCTTGAGATGGTTTTTAAATTTTATAATATTTTCCGTATTGTAGTCCCTTCTAGTTGCATACCAATACTTAATACAGCATAGTTTTTGTACGGGACATTTAAGCAGTTGTGCCGTATGATCCGATAACGCCCATTCAAACACTTCAGTCTTACATGTATTAAAGTTATGTGCAAAGTTGTCTATGCATGATAAGCTAGCCATGCGAGTTGGTTCTTTTAAGGCAAGTTTCATATTGTAACTCATTAAAAAACATTCTAATTCAGTCGCTTCTCTGCTTTGCTTAAGTACGTTAATGTTGAAATCTCCGCAAACAACAATTTTTCTACAAGATGAACATAAAATCTCACGCATGAGCATTTCAAGTTTCTCGAAGCAGTAATTTAAATTATTTGGGTTAGGAATTCTATATATACAAACTATTGTCATTTTGTAACTAGTCAGTTCTACGCCACAGCATTCAAATATCCCTGGAGTTGATAATTTTGCTACTTTTGGCAATTCTTTCCATTGTAACCCATTTTTAACAAGGATACACGCACCACCCCGTTTCTGTCCTATTCTACAATAATATGCAGCCAAATCATAGTTGGGCAAAAACAACAAATTCTGATACCCATCCATGATAAAGTGCTCTGTAATACAAACGATATCAATACTAGTATCCCTACTCGCAAGCTCCTCCAGACATACCAACAGATCATCTGCTTTATTTATCAAACCAGCTATATTTTGGTGCAAAATGTTGAGATATTTATTAGAGAAAAAACAATTCATTTTCATCAGTGTCATTGCTTTGTACAGAGTCATGCACATCAGGTACCCCAACAGTAGAATAACAAGTATTTAAGTCACTATACATTACTATTTCATCAATCATTAAACCAATATTGTGCATTATATTAGCCATACCACGATTACCTACAGAGCTACTACTTTTGTTAAACATTGTAAAATCATAGTCAAGATAGTAGTTTGAATCAAACAAATATGCATAATTAAATGAATACGCATCTAGATATATTAAACTGTTGAAGGTTTCAATTCTCGAGTTAAACATAATAGAATAGTCATTCAATTTGAAGGTAGGAGCACATAATATGATATTCGTGTGCTGCAATTTTAATAGTGTTTCACGAATATAAATAGTTAGTTCTACATAATTCTTTGTCCGACGAAAGTCATCTTCCCCTACAAATATCACGCAGTAGTCATTCTTATTGTAGTCCTTCAATTTGAGATCCAAGTCAGAGATAAGGCACTTAACACCACAGTTGGGTGTCAGGTAGTGGCAAATTTTATAATTAGGGAATGTATTTTCTGCAATTTCTAACATTTTATTATGTTTATTGCTACTTATAATACATAATTTGCCCGTTCTAGTTACATTAGATTTACTTTTATAATTTAATTGCGTAGATTGTGTTTCTGTCTTTCTTTGTTCTTTATTGCAAGAGTCACTGATAACGCCATCTGTGATCGCTTTATCTAACTGCGATTGATTTTGTTCATTGGTTGGAAGTGTGGATTTCGAAGCTATACTTGGGATGTTTTTATATTCACTAGACGTTTTCGGGTTATTTTTCGCGTACTGTTTAATTTTTGCAGATGTTTTCTTAATTTTAGGTGTTTGCATGCTTGGCTTAGCAGGGGAACATGTCACCTTTTTATACAGAGCATTTTGTTTTTGTAGCTCCTCATTAAGGTGTTTGAGCTGCGTATTTTCTAAAGTCAGGGAATCTATTTCGTTGTGGGCACTATTGAGTTCTAGAGATAATTTTTCTAATTTTTGTTTTAACTTAGTGCATTGGTCATCTTCGTCATCAGAAATGTCATAAGAAATGTCATCTTCGTCATAAGACTACTATCGGTTGCGCTGCAGCGCTTATAAACACATGCACACGCATATTTTCATCCGTGTGCACACGCGTGCGTGTGTTTATACGTACGCACGCGTTTTTATGCACATTAATATGAAATTACTTACGCATTGCCGTGTGAACATCACTCACGGTGGCAGCGGAATTTTGACCTTTGACTGTACCACTGTTCATCGTCTAATGGGGTATTAGCTAGTGTCACCCCCATTGGTCGTTCGACATTTGACAACTGCTGTGATTGGACTAAAAGTTTTGTACTACAGTTGTGCCGTCTGATGACCAAAAATACGGTAGCCCCCATTGAGAAAAGCTCTACTAGTTTCAAGTTACAACGGGACCCTTATTCATGAGCAACGTGAGCACGCTCCATACCTAGTTGTTTTAAACAGATCTAGAAGAAAATTTCGTTGACTACTCACACAAAACTTAGTATTTTTCCTTCAGTTATTCAGAACACAATTATACATCTCCCATTTAAAATTCGTAGGTGCTGAACCAAACCAGCGACCACAGGCAGAGAGTACTAGCCAGCGTGGCGAAGGAACTGGCCAGCTGGACCATCATGGTTCGCAAGATGAAAGCCATCTACCATACTCTGAACTTATTCAACATGGATGTCACCAAGAAGTGCCTCATCGGCGAGTGCTGGGTGCCCACCCAGGACCTGCCCAATGTTCAGAAGGCCTTGGCTGACGGATCTGTAAGTAGTATATACAAAAGTTTAATATAATTAATAAATATTGTTGTCATTATAAAATGTCACCCTCATGTGTTTTGTTAAACACTCTAGATATTATCTAGAGTTGTATAGACTGTCTCGTTGCCCGAGTGGTCGCAAGTGCGACTGCCGGGCAAGGGGTCTCGGGTTCGATTCCTGGGTCGGGCAAAGTATTACTGGGTTTTTAAGAAAAATCTCAGTAGTAGCACGGAGCCTGGAATTGGGCCCGGTATATGGCAAAAGGCTCACCCCTCTATTACATTGGGACTCATAACATAAATAGTGAAAAGTGGGTGTTACATTGTACAGTGGCATAGGGTGCACCTCTGCCTATCCCTTCGGGGGTAAAAGACGTGATGTTATGTTATGTTATGTTATAGATTGCATGGTTGGCGAAAGGGTGATCGCTGCTGTTTAATGATTTGTATTATGTTGCAAATTGAGTTCTATACGAAACAGTTCATTGTGTGATCTATAAATTGTTATTACTGACCTAAGTGTTATGTTAAACACCAAATGAGACAATATAGCTAACGCAATTTTTATTTTACATCATGAAAAGAAGAATAAGCTAGAATTTAAGCTATACACTATAGTGACGGACGGGGAGCCGTCTCAGGGGAATGAAATGCAGTACACAAAAGAAATGAAAAAACAATTAACAATATTAAAAAGATACAAAAATGGCACTATTACAGCGTTAAAAGTTTTATTAAAAAAACATCAAACCGTTAAAAGACTTATAAGATACCGTTTCTCCCATAGAACGCTTGCGGCAGCTCTATCCCATCATTCCTGAACTGTATCGAGACGGACGAGGAGCCGCCGACCTTCAACCGCACCAACCGCTTCACTCGCGGCTTCCAGAACCTCATCGACTCGTACGGAGTCGCCTCCTACAGGGAATGCAACCCTGGTAACTATTACTTTTATTATTATTAGGCTGGCAAACGATTTGAAGGATAACCTGATGGTAAGCAATCGTCGCAACACCAGAGAAGTGCGTTGCCGGCCTTTTAGACGTTGAAGAATTAGGAATTTGGGAAGCTCCTCTTCTCCCTAATCTTCAAATTACCAATCCGGAGATCTCATCCTTTCCCCTACCCAGAAAGATTGGGCATTCGGTAATCTTACATGGCAAACCACAACGCAAGGGTTGTTACGCGCCGGTTTTCTGTAAGGCCGTGGTATCATTATAATTTTCAACTATATAACCAAATGTAAGACAATCAACAATTTTAACCAATATTTTCTCTTTCTTAGCGTTGTACACGACCATAACCTTCCCGTTCCTGTTCGCGGTGATGTTCGGAGATTTAGGCCACGGCTGTATCATGGCACTGTTCGGAGCTTGGATGGTCTGCAAGGAAGTCTCCCTCGGCGCCAAAAAGTCCAACAACGAAATCTGGAACATTTTCTTCGCTGGTCGTTACATCATTCTTCTCATGGGTTGCTTCTCAATGTATACTGGATTGGTCTATAACGATATCTTCTCGAAGTCCATGAACATCTTCGGTTCGTCGTGGAGTATTCCCTATGACAATGACACTATGGAACACAATGCAGCGTTGACTTTGGACCCGAAGGATGCTTACAATAACAACCCGTACTTCATCGGTATTGATCCTGTTTGGCAGGTGAGGAATAAATCTTTTTCACCAACTAAAATGTTATTTGCAAACGAAAGTAAGTTTTCTGGAGTTACAGTTTGGGTTAATTTTTGAATGACCCGATTTATGAGAATTTGCTTATAGGAAACAAATCTCTTTAAACATTATAGCTTTTACTATCGGAAATTTTGTTTTCTATCAAATAATGATAAATCACAGTTGTCTAGAAAATAGGATTTTAATTAAAAGCAACAGAATTTATATTCTTATCTATTTTGTCTTAGTGCTTACCTGATTTTTGTTCCTACAGAGCGCTGACAACAAGATCATCTTCTTGAACTCGTACAAAATGAAGCTGTCCATCATTTTCGGTGTGTTGCACATGATCTTCGGTGTCTGCATGAGTGTCGTTAACTACAAGTAAGTTGCACATAATGACTTTTAATTAATTACCTGAATATTTTAAACGGTTTACGAATAACAGTTTCATAGTTTAAACACAAGCAAAACAACTGATGGAGAATATCAGAATTTTCAAATATTTCCTTATGTCTCGCCCAGGGCGGGAGGAGCCATTTGATAAGTTCCCCCTCAAAATAAAGGCGACCGCCAAAAAGTTCCAATTTTGCACGTTCTTTGAATACCCCTAGCCAGCCAGTTTGATTTTTGAACGCGGTATGTTGTATCTCAGGAACTTCAAATTCAAATGGATAAAACCTTTTTTGTGCTGAATACTATATGTTTTGGAGTATGTAAGAGGCTATTAAGCATCACGCTACGACCAATTCGAAACGAGCAACGAGTGAAACCGCTATCAAAAATTAGTTAGTGATAAGTGCAGTATAAAACAATGAGATGATGTTTCCAGCTTCTTCCGTCGCCGCTATTCCATCGTGTTGGAGTTCCTGCCGCAAGTGATCTTCCTGTGTCTGCTCTTCTTGTACATGGTCTTCATGATGTTCTACAAGTGGGTCGCCTACAGCGCCTTCTCCGACGGTAAATTAACTTTTCTTATCGAAATTACTAAATATATTGAAGTAGTAAAGGGATGACTCTGTTAAGCATTTATGGTACACTTATAAATATTATTTAACAAATCATGTAGTTACATAATAAATACATGATTTATTTAAAAAAAACCGCAATACTTTTGACTCTTTGATGAAGTTCTTGTGTTTATGCCATCTATCAGCAATTAATTTATCAATGAACCTAGACGTTTTTGTTGAACCAAGACCTATTGTTTTGCCGCCCTATTCTATGGGGTAAACATTGGATGGATTGGTTTGTTAGATTTTAACAAACAAACCAATTATTTGATGTTGGCGTTTGGAGATTTGGGGATACCACGTGTATATGGCGCGTCGCGTTCCGCGCGCGCCTCAAAGAGCCATCAGACAATCACAGATGTGGCCCAATAGGCATGATGCTTGATACGGAGCCGCGGAAGGCCTAACGGGTTGCCGGGGCTCCGGCTCGAAGAGCAGGGGTAGGAACGGGGTCGTTTTTAGTCAGTAAGGGTCTGACACTTCCTCTCGCCTAACCTAAGACGGGAGAAGTCATTGGATGATTTACTCATTTCAAAAAAAGGGGATTTGGAGAGGGGCGAATTGTGCCTATAAAATACAAATACTCAACGTATAATTTGTGTTCCAGAACAAGCATACACCCCTGGTTGCGCGCCATCAGTCCTGATTCTGTTCATCAACATGATGTTGTTCTCGAGCACGCCGCCCCCCGAGGGATGCAACGAGTACATGTTCGAGGCGCAGGCCTCCATACAGAGAGTGTTTGTTCTCATCGCACTCTGCTGCATACCCGTCATGCTACTCGGCAAGCCACTCTATCTGCTCGCTGCTGGCAAGAAGAAGAAGGAAGCCAAGGTAACTTGGATACTTAACTTTACAAATATCATTTATATTTTAAGTAAATATCTATTCAGCTCACGAAAGGCACAGGTTCTAAAGGTTGTAATTATTTCTAAGCTCTGTAAATAACTGATAATACCTCTATAATGTATGTATAATGATGTGTCCGCTCAGTTAGGCAGCTTGCTTGGCGTTTTGAAGGCTCCAACGACTCCTGCTAGGCTATTCTGAAACATCGAATTGAACTCGATCACGGTCCGTAATATCATTTATTGTGAGAATAATCTCGAGAGAGAACGCGATCGAGTTCACTTCAAAAGTTCGAATTGACAGTTTCAGAATTGCCTAGCTGCTAAGCAAGCTGTCTGTCTGGAGCTAGAAAAAAAATAGTATCAGACAATCACAGCCTGAATTATTAAAAAGACAAGTGAGAAATTATCTACTCTTATCATTAACAATAATGTTCTCTCCAGCCCGAACACTCAAACGGCAGCGTGAACCCCGGCATAGAAATGCAGGAGCAGACTGACATCGGCGACGGCGCGCCCAAACCTGAAGCTAAGCCCGCCGCCTCGGGACACGACCACGAGGACGAGCCATTCAGCGAGATCATGATCCACCAAGCCATCCATACTATTGAATACGTCCTCAGTACCATCTCTCACACAGCCTCCTACCTTCGATTGTGGGCTCTCTCGCTTGCTCACGCAGGTATTATATGAATATTTATACTTATGTATTAATATCTCGTTTACATAGGTACATACATATATCTCCAGAACTACAAATTCAAATTTAATAACAATTTTTGTGTTGGATTGAAGGCTATATACAATAAAACATCTATCTGCTTACAATAGAACCCGATAGCGGATGAAACTGCGAGGGAATACCTAGTATCCAATATAAATAAAATTATTGTTCCTTTTCGATGACATCGGATTGAGCAGCGAAGAACACGAGCTCAGTCCCTATTGGGCTAATAGAGTTTTACACCTCACTAGCTTCTTCCACATTACATTACTTATTCCACAGAACTGTCGGAGGTGCTGTGGAACATGGTGTTGACGTTTGGTCTGAAGGACCACGACTACATCGGCGGCATCAAGCTGTACGTGGCGTTCTGCTTCTGGGCGCTGTTCACACTCGCCATCCTCGTCATGATGGAGGGACTCTCCGCCTTCCTTCACACACTGCGTTTGCACTGGTAATTATTCTTATTACTACTAATTTTCTATCAAAGATAATGATAAGCCCCGTTCATCGCTTGAAATTAGTCGAGTAATCTCAATACTTTTCGAGACACTATCTAATGGGTGTTTAATAAAAATTATATGGTTCGGAAACTGTTACCGGCATTCGAATGTATTTTTATTCTTTTAATATTATTATGTGTAAAACTACATAACTTAATACTGATAAAACCCCTTTTCTTTACTCAGGGTGGAGTTTATGAGCAAGTTCTACTCGGGTCTGGGTTACATCTTCCAGCCATTCTGCTTCAAGACCATCTTAGAACAAGAAGAAAACAAAGACGATTAACCAATCAAAGGTTATCATGTAGCGTAGATACAGAACAGTATTTTTTGATTAATGTTTCATTAAAATAAAATAATTGCAAAATAAATGTCACAACTGAGTGAATTGAATTGAAATAAAATATATTTATGCATGTTACATTGTTTTTTATTGTACTTAGCTTTATTTTACAACATTATTCTTATTAAAAGTCGATACAAATGCAATAAACGATAACAGTAAATAATGATAATTTCCAGTTAGTAAATAAAATAAAGATTTTCGTTCTTAAAGAACTGCAATGGACGGATGACACAAGTTAAATATAGACCAAAGACACAAACAGTTTGGGCTGATTTTTCAATCAACATTATAAATAAAATTCATATCTGACTGAGATTCAGTATGAAAGAAATACCAAAAAATCAAAGTTGTTTCTATTTGTATGTATATGTAAATTAAGTACAAATACGAATAAATATTTCCTTTTTAGGTTCTCAAATTAGTTTTAGCTTTTTCTAATATTTCTTTTTTTATTTTTGGATAATCTGGGTGTACTTTTAGTATATGCCGACAGACAACGATACATTCTGGGTACTTTTTCAGTTTGAGGTAAGCGTGAGCTAGTTTGTATCCAACTGCAAGATCGCTTTTCCCTCCGTGAGTCCACGCATTATTGTAGTTATGGGCAGCACTCTTGTAATTCTGATCTTTTTCTGCCAAGTAACCTGAAATATAGAAAATACAATGAAAAATCGTAATCTATTACCTAATCTTTTATTGCCCGATGAATGTATATGGAATTTCACGTTTCGGTTGATATTATAAGCTAGCCCAGCCAAAGCCCAGAGTGTAGGTATAGCACAAATAGACTTCGAAAATCGAGTATTGTTTGAATATCAAGCTCCAGGTGTGTTGCTGGTGGTCTTGAATAATAAAAGACTTCGGTATGATGAGAAGACTGTATTTAAATAGGAACTGATTGTAAGGGTCAACCGGTATGTGGGCGCGGCGTCGTGTCGGGCGAGCGAGTGAATGAATGACCGCCGATCGCAGCGGTCGCGGGCCACGTATGGTGGTGAGCCCGATGTGACGTCAGGAACAAGTATCCATTGACAAAAAATAAAAACCTGTTATATACTCTGTTAGTCGCAGGAATTCACAACTCATCGATGAATCAAATATTTTTTTAAATAAAACTTGCGTAAAAATATACATAGAAGTAATTAATGATTATTATACACACCTAAGTACTGATACGCAGCTGCGCAAGAGTTGTTGTGGTTCAACACCTTAGTCAGCAGTTCCTTTGCTGCATCCAATCTTCCGGAACTTATCTGTCCATCTGCTACTTCCAGCCAACACCTAAAAACAAAAGCATTTGATATTAAGATAAATATTAGCTTCAATAAAATATGATACACACGACTACACATCGAGTTAGCATAACTATTTTATCATGGTCTAGTTTTGTATTATCTTTCCGTACAGCAGACGGTAAATTTATACTAGATAAGCACAATTGGATAAATTGATCTCACTTTTCCAAACCATCCGCTTTCTCAGGAGACCAAGGTATCGCAGAAATCGTCCTTTTCAATATGTTCTTCGCTCGAGTGGGTTGTTTTATTATGTTGTATCTGTAAATACGAAAGTGATATTCTGTAGTTATCAGAATAAGGTAGAAATTCGACTGGCAATTTAAAAGTTTAAGTAAGATGACTTACGCATTAGCTATAGCCAATATCAAGTATGGATCATCCTGGTAGTTGTCTTCTGTGGCGAGTGGCAGTAGATCTTGTAATACCTTCTCCGCTTGAGGTTTCTGTTTGGTGGCCAGTTGTAACATCGCTTGCAAAGACTTGCGGTCTAGCGGTGGCACTTCTCCTAGGAGTTTCTCAGCTGTTTTCAGCGCTAATAGTCTGGTCTCCCTGATAAGACATGAAATTACAATTTTAATTATGTTTTTCTCTGTGCTCTAACCAAGCTATTTAAAATTGTCAAGATTTAATTCTTTTCTAACTGGATTTCCTTAGTAGCTCATGATTTAATTGTTATTTGTTATATTTCTGATGATATATGCAATGCAAGGCTCATAATCCTCCGCTTCTTATCCCTTCCAAAAGGTTGACAACACACTTTTGTGGTCGCAAGTGCGATTTCTGGGCAAGGGGTCTCGAGTTCGATTCCCGGGTCGGGCAAAGTATTACTAGGTTTTATTCAAAAAACCTTAGTAGTAGCATGGAGTTTGAAATTGTGCCCGGTATATAGCAATAGGCTAGTGAGCCTATTGCCATATACCCATAGGGAGTGTCCTATTACATGGGACTCATAACATAAATAATGAAAAGTGGGTGTTAACATTGTACAGTGGCATTAAGTGCCAGAATGTGCACCTCTGCATACCCCTTCGGGGATAAAAGGCGTGATATTATGTTAGTCAGTAAAAGTACATGAACATGAAATACTGACGAGTGTAGCGGCGCGGCGAGGCCGGCGTCGTGCAGCGCGTGCGGCGCGTGGTGCGCCAGACACTGCAGCGCCATGCGGCGCGCGGCGCGCGGGCCCCAGCGCGCCGCGCGCCGCGCCTGGTTCAACTGGCGGAGCGACGCGTTCGCACGACCCGAGTACGCGTTGCACACACCCGCGCAATACCAGTACCCTGGTTTACAATTAACTTCATTAAAAACTTTTTTAAAAACAAGCGTTTACTTACACACATAAATAACTTCACGCCTGTCTCCCATGGTGGTAGGCAGAGACTATGGAATGGAATTACTACGATTCCTACATACATCTTTCGCTTCATCAACAGTCATCAATCTTTTCATGCATGCTCATCAGTTAAGGGTACTTTTAATTTGGCCCTTCTTTAATATATCGCCAATCTGGTCACTATAAGTCCGTCTAAGGCGCCCTCTACCGACGGCCTCATTCATTTCCGCTCTGTATACTTCTTTCGTTACTCTACTTTCATCCATCATCCTTTCTACATGTCCAAACCAGCGTAATATTCCCTTTTCTTTTACGGTCATGAAAACTAAACGTGCATGCAACATTTGAGCTCAATAGGTTGAAGATATATTCTTGAAACTTCAATTGCAAGATTTCACTTCACACATATTCAATATTCATACATACATACATAGCAAGTTAAATAAAAGCTTATAATAATGTACTCAAAGATTGTTTTTAATCATCAAATGACTTCTCCCGCCTTAAGTGAGGCGAGAGGAAGTATCAGACTCTTACTGACTAAATTCGACCTCGTTCGTGCTTGGTGCAGGAGCCCCGGTAACCTATAAGGTTGTCCGCCACCCCGGTAAGATATCAACGAACTAAAATGCAGTTTTGGACTTATGCATTCGTGGATACAACGTCATAATAAAAAAAAAACATTTGATCTCAATTACTTACAATTCACAAGAATTCAAATATTCATTTTTGTATGTTTTCCACGTAAAATATTCACATACCAGGATCCTCTTGTTCTCCCAAAGCTGACTTAGCAGCCTCCAATGCCTGTTCAGCTTCAGACAGTCTTCCACGTCGCCATTGTACTTCTATCAGCTGCGCTAGAGCTTCCCAGCTCATTGGTTTCACCGATAGGATCTGATTCAAGTGACGCTGGGCCGCTTCTAAATCCACCTAGAAATAAAGATCAATAATTACTTTTTTTTTCTTGTTCCTAAGGCAAATAGGAGTAACGCCAGTAAGTATTTATTCGACAAACTACAAAAACACCACGGAAATTAACGGCTTTCAACAAAATCTCAAACCTGTTTTTGTCAGAATCTCTATACAATAAATGTCAAAAAATAATGTTAACTTCTAAATCCACGATTACGAAATATCCACGAAATTGATTCATACAAAAGTACAGTAGTTTCTACAGATTTAGACTGAGATTGGTTATTAATTTCGGCCGTAAAGGTTACTCAACTAAGCTCAAAAAGTATTTAAAAAAAATAAAAATAATAGGGAGAATGGAAGAGAAATATAACAACATACCTTTCTAAATGCAAGATCCGCCATCATAACAGCCGCTGACTCGTTGTTAGGATCAGTGTTCAAAAGAACAGCGCAAGTCTGCTCACATTTCTCGGCGTTATTTATCTGAAAATACAATGGGGACGATGACAGGGTATGAAAATTAAAAATATAATTAGTCCGTAAGTTAGGTAATGAAAAAATATTAAACACGTATTTTTTTATTTTGTCGTACAATGAAACAATACTTAGATAAAACGTTTAGGAGTGGGGGCTAAAACGTCATTTCTTAATATAAAATGTACTGAGAAGTGACGTCACGCGACATTTCAAATCAAGATATCTTCGAAACTATTCGTTTCCTTAAGAAAATAAAAAATACGTGTCTAATGTTTTTAAATAATGTACCAGACGGACATTAAAATAAAAATTAGTCGTTTACCCTATTCACATACCAAAAAGGCCCCCAACCTATTCAGCAGTTTTAGTATGAAAACGTATCAAATTCATATTTTTAATTATTTTAACATCTATTACCAATTTGATCAGGATAGGAATATTAAGCCATAGCCATACCATTCAATATTATAGACATTTTCATAAATTAATCTAAAACCGATAGAAAAGAATTTTTAACTTACATTAGCATACAATTTAGCCAACGCCAACAGCGTGTTAGGATCCCTAGGAGCGTGAACCAGCGCTTCAGAGTACAAATTAGCTGCTACCGCCGGTTCCTTCAACGACTTAGCTTTGGCCAAAGCACAAAGGATATCAGACAACTGCTGCTTCTCTTCTTGAACATCTCCTCTAGAGTCAATCTCTATTCTCTTCACTAATGTCGTCTGTAAATCTTTTGCTTCAGCTAGTAAAAGGTTCACGTTAGCAGAAGTCGGGTTTTTTAGCTCCCGACCTTTAGCTTGCATTAGCAGCAATCTCACTCGACGCTTTAATTGGTTGATATCTTTGTCTCTGTACATTTGATTCAGTTCTGATGATATTGAAGATTCCACTTTGTCATACTGTTTGAGCTGT